CGCTTTGTTTATAGTTGGCACCAATATACGAGAACTCTGACCAACAGCTTGTTGGACTGAGGTATAAATTGTCCTCTCTTGACTTTTTGCATTTGAGTAAGCTCGCAAAATGTATATTTTCATGATTTTAAGGAGGCATTTTTTAAAAAAAGAGAGCCTATAAGGAGGACAAGACAGCTTCATTTCACCCAAATAAATCTTAAAACATTTTCAAATCCTGTATGTCACAGTGTTACATATGGGTGTTAGCTTCCATAATGTTTACATTAATGTTTAGCTTTCCATTAAACCCCCCTCCCCATTGATCTTAGCAACTACTGTATACTTTCTTTAATACTTTAATACTTTTCTTTAATACTTCTCACCTACAAGCTAATGTAGTAGCTCCAATCTTTTAATTGGAGCTTTGCCCCCACAGCACAGATCAATATTTCAGATGGAAATTATGTATGTTTTTTCCCTCTCTCTCTCTCTCATTTATTTTGAATCACCTATTGATTGGATGAGATCCAAAGCAGCGTGGTGATTGGTGGGTCTAATGTGCATTAGTTAGTCTGTGTATAATGTACAGTAGTTAGCATCATAGGTTGGAGCGCTATGTCATTCTTTTAGCAGGTAACAAAAAGCACAAGCAAGCTTTAACTTGCTGTGATGTTGCATTTACTAGATCTTTATTCAGATTGAATTGTACGTGTATGTGAGTCATGTGTATGTTAGTGAACTGTTAAATACAACTATCTTTCTTTATTGTACCCATAGTTGTTGTTTTTTTTGTTACCTCTTTGCAAGATTGCTTTTATTTAATAAAAATAGTCTTAATTGGATAATCGGGTGTTTTGAGAGTCACGGATGCATAATAAATGCAGCCATGGAGAATCTTTTTTTTTTTTAATTAACTTGTTTTTTAAATGAGTTTGAATTATTTGCACAGGAGAGATGAAAGTGAATGTCAAGAAGTTTGCTGTTGCATGAAAGAGTCTCTTTTGACCTTTAAGGCCTTTTTTATAACACAATATTAATGCTGACTTTTATACAGCCTTGATAGTTGTTTTCTTCTGTCTCAATTAGCAGCCCTGTGTTAAGGCCTATGTGTGAAACGGTGCTCTGGTAGACCTCAAATGCTAATTGCATTCTGACTTTTCTTGTGTGCTATTATATGTCATTTTGTCTTGACTGTTTTTTATGCGAGCAGGAGTACGGTGCAAGTGACATTTGGCTTTGCTGTTTAAACTGATCCATCTTTTTCCTTTTGTCTTTTCTTGCTCCTCGCTTACAGGTGATTCATCGCAAGTTGGTAAGTCAACATCTTTCTTTGTTTTTGCCACATGCACGCTCACCTCGATCCCGCGACAGTCCATCGGTTGCAGACGATCTTTATCACGCAGTGTAGTCGGCTGTGTGTGAATGTTTACATCTTCGCAAACCAGCCGCTAATTATCCTTTTGAATTCTGCACTGCTAGTGTACACTGAGCAATGAAACTGTTGAATAGAAACACATTCCTCTTCCTGCCTTTCACCCTCTCATTTATATTCTTTACACATCACACTTATTTGATTTTGTGTACTATATTACCTTCTATAGTTGTTTGCACTGTATATTGAATGGGGATTTCTAACAGTTTACTGTGAAAAGATCAAACTCTAAATTCCTGCTTTGGGAGTCTGATAAATTGCACCGCCTTGTAATGTAGATGCAAATTTTAAAGCTCCCATTGAGTGACTAGCCAGTTTGGGAACC